AGGAAACTTCAGTTTTCTTATATTTAGTTGTGTATCTAACGGATAGCACGTGTTTCTCTACAGGAAACTTCAGTTTTCTTATATTTAGTTGTGTATCTAACGGATAGCACGTGTTTCTCTACAGGAAACTTCAGTTTTCTTATATTTAGTTGTGTATCTAACGGATAGCACGTGTTTCTCTACAGGAAACTTCAGTTTTCTTATATTTAGTTGTGTATCTAACGGATAGCACGTGTTTCTCTACAGGAAACTTCAGTTTTCTTATATTTAGTTGTGTATCTAACGGATAGCACGTGTTTCTCTACAGGAAACTTCAGTTTTCTTAACATCACATTCACTCTAAGAAGACAGAATGGTTATCATCTGATCCAGACCTACCTCCCAACCTTCATGATCGTCATGATTTCTTGGGTTTCTTTCTGGTTGAACGTGGACGCTGTCCCCGCTAGGGTGACCCTGGGAGTGACCACTCTTCTCACACTGACCACCGTGGCTGCAGGAGTGCGGACCCAACTGCCCCCGGTGTCGTACGTCAAGGCCATTGATGTGTGGATCGGCGCATGCTCAGTAATGGTCTTTGGTGCCTTGTTAGAGTTCACGCTGGTCAACTACCTTTCTCGTAGTAAATATCGTCCAGAAAACATCTTGAAACCAGTCCTAGTGTTTAACGTTATAGTAAGCAGGTTTCCGTTTTCTTATTCTCCGGTGTTGTGTCTGGTTTTTAATGTACAGTAGAATTTTACTTGAAAACGTTTGTACCCTTTTGACTGTGAAATATATCATTTTATGTACGTATTTCTTACTGTGAGATGCCTTCCAGTGGATTTCAATACCCCTGGCGGGCACAGCACATATTAAGCAGTTTTATTATTAATAACAAACTCTATAAAATAACATGTAACATTTTGTATGAATAATCTTTACCGCCAAACATTTATTATATTTCGCTACTGTCATTAGTAAGCAGACAACAATGCTGATAATATTATTGTTTTTTTTAGTATATTTGTTTGGTAAATTGAAGCCAGTATTGAACAAGGCATCCGATACTTCACGCTGTCATAAGTAATATATTAGCCCCTCAGTGGCACAGCGGTAAGTCTGCAGGCTTATAACAGTAGATACTCACATTGTGTAGCCTTGTGCTTAACTACAAACAAACAAACGAACGAATAGATTAATATCGTCTATTTAAATATATCAAGATATACCCCGATAAAATAACGGATATCCTGTTGTTCAGTAAACTGGATAGGAGTATGCACGTGCTTTATACGTTACTTATTTCAATATTATATATATACATCTTATATTTTTTAGAAATCACAATCTGGTCAACGCAACATGAACGCCCGAGACAGAGCTTCCAAAGAAAGAGCAAGAAATATGAAGATGGCGTGTTTTGTGGATCGTGTTTGTCGTTTGTCATTTCCTTTAGTATTTTTTATTTTCAACGCCATCTACTGGCCGTACTATCTCTTCGCAGAAGATGCTCAGTAAAGCTGCGCAACTTCTTGAAAGAGGATTTCTATCGAGACAGCTTAAACAAGCAGCTTTTATCACCTGACATTCATTCCAGGCTGCTTCAGTTGTTCTTCGTCTTTCCACACTTTTGGAGCTTTTACTGTTGTGCTAATAGTAACAAAAAATATTATATTTGAATTTTATGTTAGTATGTTAAGAAGCTTAATTTTTTTTTTTTTTTTACAAATTTAACAAAAAATAAATTAATAAAAAATTATTCTAGATCATCTTTGCCCTATTTAAATATTTAAA